ACCCATATCTTGCGCATGCGCTCAATGAGTGAACAAATCTCTCAAATTGAAAAAGCAGTTCGGCATATACATGTCTCTTTACAATCCTGCACGCAAGAAAGAGATAGAGATAGCTTTGGTGAGAACCCACGAGAAATAACTGTCAAACGAGACACGCACCAGGATTGTATTACAAAAAAAGAAGAGAAGCTTTTTGACTGAAATTATTCAGAAAATTGAAAAGTAACCGGAAAATTCATCAATTTGAAATTCGGCTTTGTTAAGTGTTTTGCTTTCCGTGTTATACGCGATTTTTGTGTACTTGTGTACTGTTTTATCGTTTATATTTGTGTATTATCATGGTTGCTTTCTGTTTTGTCTGTAAAAACAACACTAGAACTAGCCCAGGCTTAGGATATTTCAGTTTCCCGAACGATGAACGACTGTAAGTATTTATATTTACATATTTCATATTAGGTTTACTCTATACATTCACATAATCTTGATCTGATGAAATAATTGTCCACATTCCAAAAATATCTAATACTGTGTTGCAAATGTGGATGGGATTGAAATCCTGGCTGTGTCCTAATGGTCTAATGGTCGTTTCCACCAACTATTTTAGGGGAGCTTTAACCATAAGTATTCCCTAAACTGACATTTCTCTATGTAAAAATGTCATTTTAGGGAATACTTATCGTTAAGGCTCCCCTAAAATAGTTGGTGGAAACGGCCATAAGAGCCAGTGAACTTTTTTGCGTAAAAACTTAGTGATGGCTAATTTTATTTAAAAACTATGTACTATTATGCCCCATTGCAGGAAACCATCGACTTGCAGCATGTAGTATACTAGTTTGCCGTATGCATAATAGTAAATTAGTTACTAAAAATCAATGAAATTCGGAAAAACTTAACTTATCATAATATGCATCTTACAAGGGTTTCGCGACGCCAAAATCGTCTTGCATTAGGTGCATTCATTTGAGATTATGTTTATAAAGATATCTGGAGAAACTTCCTCCTGATTAAGATAAGTTTTTGCAACTGCTTTTCATTAATTGAATTTAGAATAATTATATGCAAAAACACCCGTTTATATGATATTTGATTGCAAGAAAAGTTTCAAATAAATTTTCTAATCTGCGTTATATTTATTTATTCCTCAAGTGACTTTTGGTTTTCAGATATTACATTTCTCTCTATTTATTTTAAGTTTAAGTACCTATCTATCTTTTTGATAGCTTTAGTAAATTTTTGCACATCGGTTGCGTGCTCCATATTTCTAGGACATCACATCATCATAAAACAGCCAAAAAATCATTATATTATTTGTTTCGAAATTATAATATGATCCCGTTATATTCTCAATGTTAATCCACAAAAAATACTAGTCCGACTCTGTCCACGGCCCAGGATTCGTTGTTTCCGATCAATAATGCGCAAGCGCGAAATATGGGGACATAGAATTTGGCTTCAAAAAATTCAATGGTTTGTCAACGGAGTTGAACAACTGTATCGGTACGGTATAAACTGTGACTAGGCTTCACGGGCGTCAATATGTGTACGACCTACGCATTCCAGTTTTTGGTTATAGTTCATTGGGTAAATTATAAGAAAACAAATACGCATTGACAACATTGTCAGTCCTTGTTCTATGACGTCATCATAAATATAACATAAAAAACCTTATAAAGCTGAGATGAATTCCATTCATTTCAAAGTTTATCAGGAAAATTCAAGAACATTGAGAGCAGTCTGACGAAATACCTAACGCAGCGGTAATGGGTTGTAGAAGAGGCAGTTGTATCGTATCCTCCCAAGGTTAATACGCACTACTACTACAGGATAGCCTATCTTCATAAGGCCTTTGTAGAACAAATCTGAAGCCCCCCACCACACCATATCACCAGTTGTGACGTAGCAGCATCTCGTTTCTCGCCTTGACGTAGGCTTTTTGCACCATAGGTTATGATTCCGCGGGCTCTTGTTTTATGGATACTTGGTTTTACCAAATTAATTAACATTCTGAAACAACTATTTATCAGATCCCGTTTGCATCTTCCTATATATGCCTATATTATGTTAATAAAAATTGAATAATAAATTTCATCACACATAAATTTAAATTCTAAACTACGACCGCTGGCGCAAACAGCTGACGTCGCTGCCGACTTAGTTAATGACTTCAACAATGATGATACACCAATATGGCGGCGATTACCAAAAACGAGGCCGATAAGCAATCCTTGCCTTGCGTTCGGTATTTTGCTCAAAGAACAGAACGTACAGAGCGAAGCCGTGATCACGTGACCAGCGAGCCAACAGCAGTTGAACGCTGTATCCAAGTGTCCGGAATTTTAATAAACGAACGCAAATGAGTCTACACCAAGTACACTTTTTAAATAAACGAACGGTAAATTGAAGCTCGGTGAACTCAGATCAAAATACCGAACGCACGGTTGGTGTATCCTCCGGTCTCCGATATCCTTAGGGCCGGTTTCGCATTAGCGAGTCACCTCAGTATAGGGCAATCTAAACAAAATGGCGGTCAATGCCAAAAAATTGGCGCCATAAATTTAATTCAAACAACCGTGACTTTTTTCATCAAAAAACTGTTTTTTTGTGTATTTTGTGGTGTTTTTAGATGATTTTCTAGTGTTTGGAAGGATAATTTTCGTATTTTAAGATGGAAAGTTGTTAGTTTAAGATATTATTAGTGGAAAACCCGGCTGTTTGCAAAAGTTCCAAATCCTGAATCCTGATGATGTTTATTTTATTCGTCTGCTATTCAAGATATCGACACAAGCTAATGTGGAGGATAGTAAATGGCTTGGATCCATATACCTACCATTTATGTAGAGAGGCCTTTTGGTTTTTTAATATGGATTTCGTAAGATTTTTCGGTAAATATGCAGTATAGCCCGGTCACCTAAAATGGTATTTTTCTGCGATTGACAAGAAATGTCAGCATTTTTGACCGGTTGACAGGTCGCAAAACTCAATATTCTGGTATTTTAACAATATTTCAATAGTTGCTAAGGTATCAATGAATAACAATACGGGTAACACTTTTCCGGCCTAGGCCGGAAAAGTGATTCTCGTACTGCTGAATAATTGGAACAAAAAGACCAACATTTAACAGATATTTAACCGATCGCAGAAAAAATAGTATGTGTATTTCGGTGGAAAAGCACATTCTCGGCCTTCGGTGTTTGCCGGCCTCGGCTACGCCTCGCCCGTCAAGTTACACCGTCGGCCGAGAATGTGTCACTTTTCCACCTAAATACACAATATACTATTTTTTGAATAAGAATCGTTTGTTTAACGTTCTAATAGTGCATTTTGAAGAAAATTTTCCAGCGGACATCTTTAATTTAAAAATTACAAATTAAAATTATATTGAAAATACTCAAATAAATACTATTTTAGGTGACCGGGCTATACTGCACTTTATCCCCTAAATAAATATGCAGTATAGCCCGGTCACCTAAAATGGTATTTTTTTGAATAAGAATCGTTTGTTTAACGTTCAAATAAAGCATTTTGAAATGAATGTTTCAGCGGAAATCTTCAATTGAAAAGTTACAAATTAAAATTGTACTGATTATTCCACTCATGTGTTAGAAATCCCATAAGACAAGTGACGATTTTCAGAATTACAGCGAAAATTCTCTTTTCCATTTGTTTAACTAGAAAGAATTACAGCGATAATTGTCCCATGTTATTTTTGATACAAACAAACGGTTCCTGATAGCAACGATTTATTTGTATTGATTGTTAAGATGTTCAAATCGTTTAATACATATTTATTTCCATATTTTTTGCATTATCATACGTGAAATAATCCTCTAAATACCACTTGAGCTTTAAAATGAACCAGATAATTTTTCACTCATGCGTGTTTTCTCTGCAAATTTCACTCGTCCTACGGACTCGTGAAATTATAGAAAACACGATATCGTGAAAAATTATCGGTAATTTTGAAGCTCTCGTGGTATTATCCCCGAAAATACTGTTTATTTGCAACCAAGCTATAATGCACTTTTTCTTTAAATAAATATGCAGTATAGCCCGGACACCTAAAGAGTTTTTTATTTAATTAAGAAAATGCAGATTAAGTCAAACTAACCCTTACTTACCCGTCCGTATAGTGCTAGTCTTGGTGCTAGTTGTCTGCATAAGTGAAATACTGTTTATTTGTAACCAAGCTATACTTCTCTACCCCCTAAATAAATATGCAGTACCTAGGTATAGCCCGGTCACCGAATTTTTTCTTTAAATCCAAAATCGTTTGTTGTGTTTAACATCCAAATAGTGAATTTCAAATAAAATTTTCTAGAGGAAATTTTTAATTGAAAAATTACACTGACAATAGTGTATTATTTGTAACCGAGCTACTGCACTTTTTCCCCTAAGTAATTATGCAGTATAGCCCGGTCAATCAAAATCAGAAAATTTGTAAACTTTGCTTTAACGTTCAACTAAGACATCATGATGAAACATACTCGGCGGATAACTCATTAATTTCGTCATTGATTTACTATTTGGACGTTACACAAACGATTTTGATTGAAAAAAAAAAATGTATAGGTGACCGAGCTATACCGCATATTGCATATTTATTTAGGGGCGAAAGTGCAGTATAGGTCGGATACAAATAAACACTATTTTACTTATGCGAACTAGCTAACACTATACGGACAGGTTAGTAAGGGTTAGTTTGGGTTAATCTGCATTTTCTTAATTTAATAAAAAACTCTTCAGGTGTCCGGGCTATTCTGCATATTTATTTAAAGAAAAAGTGCATTATAGCTCGGTTACAAATAAATAGTATTTTCAATATAATTTTAATTTGTAATTTTTAAATTTAAGATTTCCGTTGGAAAATTTTCTTAAAAATGCACTATTTGAACGTTAAACGATTCTTATTCAAAAAAATACCATTTCAGGTGACCGAGCTATACTGCATATTTATTTAGGGATAAAGTGCAGTATAGCCCGGTCATCTAAAATAGTATTTATTTGAGTATTTTCAATATAATTTTAATTTGTAACTTTAAAATTAAAGATTTCCGCTGGAAAATTTTCTTCAAAATGCACTATTTGAACGTTAAACAAACGATTCTTATTCAAAAAGATACTATTTTAGGTGACCGGGCTATAATGCACTTTTACCGATTTTTCCTCTTTTGCTACAATCCATGAAGCCCTCACAAAGTACAGACAATTCATTTTTCTCCGTTAAAAACCTGTGTTTTGTCTCTGCAGGAACGACATGAAACTTAAACTTTCTCGCGATTAAAACGGCTCCCACAACTAAGTACAATACATAACGTATGCATTTTCCAAAAAATCGACACTTTACAGACTTTATACAAATCAAAAATCGCAATAAAACGGATTTTTTTTAAATAAAAAGGCATTGGCCTCCATCTTGAATGTCATTTTGACAGGTCTCTGGATTGCCCTATAGTTCTTATCACGTGGCTCCGGTTTAAGTAACCGGGCTACAAAACGGTTAGAGAAATGACATACCGTTTTCTAACCCGAGTAACCCTGAGACAAAGTAAAGTGACGTGATGGATACCTACCACTCGAATTTGAGCGGTATGTTGCGGTTTGTTGAACCGGGGCCACGTGAAAAGGGTTTATTAGTTTTAGGTTGCCTTTGGTATACAGGAAGAACAAGAAGAAGAAGAACATATCAACATAACCTAAACTTTAGGTCAAGGTCAAAATTTTTTTTAAAAAAATAACAAGGTAAATTCAACATTAATCAACATACACAACAAAACGTAAATTGGTCGGTATCTCCTTACAGTCTTTACAAAATACACTGTGAACCTCTGTAACTTATTTCAGACACGGGAAAGTACAAACAGGCTCTATGAGATATATTTTGTTCCATGGCATCATAGTTTATGTCACAAGGTGTTCCATGGAATTCAAATACATTTTCAAAATATTCATGGGGTTTACATTATCTGCCCTATAAATTCTAGCACTGTAATAATTTGAAGTTTACTTTCCAGCTAAAAAATGGATAATGATGAGATAGATGTTCTTGGAGAGTTTAACATGGAGCCAAGTACCAGCGACACTAACCTGTGAGTATTTAGGTACAATAAAAAAAACATATTTTGAAGTTCTTTAATTTATATTACAGCTTTGGTGATCCCTCCTCACTATTTGAAAATTCAGACTTACTAAACTGTGACTATACAATACATCCTCAATGGTTACTGGATAAACCAAGTGCTAATCCTGATAATTGGTACGAGCAAGCTTCAGCATCCTCTACCATCGATTCGGCAGATATTGATGCCATGGGTGTTATATCAACTGAAAACTGCATTACAGATGAGAGTGGTTGGACTGAGAAGGAGAAAAATCTGCTACAAAGAGGTCTTGAAATTTTTGGGAAGAGCAGCATTAATCTTGCTCAGTTTATTGGTACTAAGAATGATTCAGAAGTAAAGTATTATTTGAAAAATTTTGCTGAAAATTTAGATCATTATAAGCATAATCTGTTGAATAGTGACCAGGTAAATCAATTTTTTTTTTTTTCAATTAATATTTATTGTATTTTAATGGTAATACAATTTCTAGATTCCTGTTAGTTTTGAAGAAGAAATTGCTGGAGTTGATACAAGTTTTCCCACTATTACTGATTCTCCAGCTAATAAAAAACAAGGAACAAAAAGCTTCGGCAGTGACACATCAAGAAACTCAAAAAAGGGTAAAAATGAAGTTATAAAAAGCAAGAGCGTAGCTAAAATAAAATTGAAGACACAACAACACAACAAAACAAAGTCGCAAGGCAAAGGGAAAATTCATCACAAAATTGAAAGTAAAAAAAAAAGTGAAGATATCATATTATTACCAGCCAAAGAAATTTGTACTGGCACAGGACGTTCAGTATCTATTTGTGAGGGCGAAGAAATAGTAAGTAAGATTGAGTTTTTTTATAAAAAAAGTTACAGACTGTATTACAGGCAGAGCTGGGAGTAACAACAAGAAATAGTTACTTTACTTTATCGAGTTACTAAAAGTAACGCGTTACTTGGTAACTTCGTTACTTTTCAGATTGATTGATAAGTAACTGTAACGACGTTACTTTCCTGAAGTAACTGCAGATCGTTATTTTGTTAAAGTAACGAGTTACTATTTTCTATAAAAGTAGCGCGATACTATGAAAATAACGCGTTTATATGGAAGTTTTTTGTTAATTCTTCTTGGAATCAATAAAGCTGATTTACTGATAAAAAAGTAACGCGTTACTAGTTACTATGAAAGTAATGTGTTCTCTCAATTTGTTTATCTTCTTTACAAATAATTGACGATAGAGGAAAAGGAAAATAAGTAATCCAAAAACTTTGTATGTCAAATAAAATGTGGGTACCTAACTACCTAGTACAGAAAATTTGTTTTGAAAGCTCAAAATAATCGTTTTTGGGCGTGGCATGCGACGCCTCTGCTCTAAAGATACTATATGCAGACACTTGGACGCTTCAAAAAGCATAGGTTTGTCCAAAATCAAGTTCTCTATTTAGTCGCTTAATCCTTAATCCGTTTGAATTTTGCAACAAAACTCTTCCACATATTCGGACTCACAAACTAAAAACATATTGGCATTTCGTAAAGGTCTTATTTGATTGTTTGTTGTTTGGACGCGTTACTTTAAAAGTAAAGCTTTATTTAAAAGTAGCGCTTTATTTAAAAGTAGCGCTTTATTTCAAACAAACGCGTTGAGGTAACGGGGTACTTTCAAATAACGAACTACTTCTAAAGTAAAGAAGTTACTTTCAAAGTAAAGAAGTTACAGTAACGCGTTTCTTTCCAATAAGTAACGAAAATAAAGTTATCATTATTCGAAAGTAACTGTAAATTTAAAGTAACGAGTTATTTTTAAGCAAAAGTAACTGTAAAGTAACGCATTACTTTTTTCAAGTAACGATCCCAGCTCTGATTACAGGTAACTATAAAACAAGCCGAGGATGATGATTCTTTGGATGTCGATGTAGAAGATCTTGATGATTGTATGAGAGAGCATAAAACCTTGGAGGTCAATATTGAGAAGAATACTACAAAAGCTAATCAAGACGATAGTCTTATAGTTGAGAATGATACTGTTCTAAATAACAACCTGGTTCAAAAACCACTTGATGATAATGTGAAAGAAGAAATTGCTAAACAATTAGAAACACTTGATGTACCTCATTCTGAAGTAATATTAGATTCAAATACTATAACAGATTTGGAGAAATATTTTCACCCTGAGTATTTTACTGGCAAGGGTGTGAAATCTCCAGAAAGATATCTAAAGGTGCCTTTTAGTCCCTAGAAAATAAGTGACTGCATTGAAAAAAATATTGTTTTTAGATAAGAAATTATATTGTTAGTGCATGGAATGCTTCTAAACCAGAATATACCGCTAAAACAAAGCTAAGAGCAGGCTTGAAAAATTGCGGTGACGTTCATTGTATTAGCAGAGTACATTATTTTTTGGAACAAATTGGTGCTATAAACTTTGGATGTGGTAAATCTCCTTGTTTGATTGTTCAAATAACCAAAATAATACTCAACTTTTCTAGCAAAAACAAAGTATAATCGTCCATTGAGCCAAAATCTAACTTTTTATACACCACGTCAGCATAAAAAAACTGACAAGTTTGTTGGTAGGGAACCAACAGAACTAGGGCCAAGGCAAAGATTCAAGAAGAAATTTATAAATGTAAGCTGAACTGTGATTAACTTTTGGTTGTGGCTGTGATCCAATTTGTGCTTGTTCTGTGGTTAATGATGAAATATTGTCTTGCCTGTGTCTGATAGTAGAAACATAAAGCCGCGTCCAGATTAGTGAAAATTTACGTTGTACATGGCATTCGGAACAAATTTGTGTATGCGATACAAATTTATGCGAGTGTGGACCTGTTGGCCGCATACGGACGTACGCAGAAATTTTCGCGGCATTCAACGCACGCGATCCGCGCGATGTCGGTTTTTTTCAAAACATCAAAGGGATTTGCGGCGCAACATCGTTCTAGTGTGGACGTATTTTTTCGCGAACGCATCAATTTTGACAAATTGTGAATCTGTGATTGTCTTCTGATGGGAAAAAAGGAAGAGAAAAAAAGAAACAAAACCAGATGCTATTGGATTAAGTACCTGTATCAGCATAAGAAATACTCTGATGGTAGCACATTAGTGAATATTCTATCTATGGATGAAAGTACAGGGCATTTTAAAAAAAAATTGCGTATGTCTCCAAATAATTTTGAATTTTTGATAAGCTAACACGTGTTGAGCAAGAACGCACGGCGCACAACACAAATATTTATGTGGTTCAAGATACCAAATTTGCGCTGCAAAAATTTGTGGCAAATCCCGAATTCAACACAACGCATTTATTTACTAATCTGGACGCGGCTTAATACACAAAAATCCCTACAACTTTTGTATTTAAACCTTTTACCTGGTGTTTTAACTACGTCTCAAAATATAAATGATCACCCTGTCCTATGCCATTGAACATGTAACAGATAATTCAAGGTGTCCTACATTTTACCCAGGTGATATCTTGGGAACGCGTCATCCAATGTAATTGGAATTTTGAGGATCTGAGTAACTTTTTGTGCTGCTTCTACATGTATCATCTAAAATTCGCTTCAGTTTTGGTAAAGTGACGCCAACTTTAGAATCCCAAATGTAACTCAAGGTAAAAAAATACAAAGTGGAATATTCGATTACGTGTTCCGAAGTTATCACCTGGGTAAAACCCCGTAGGATACCCTGTATAATACAATTTTTGACATTCATCTAACTGCATTTTGTTATTTAGGATGGAGAAGGAGGATGTACTATAGCGCATGGTGAAAAAGGAGAAATAATTGACACAACCATTGTGAATGAAGAACCTCCAAGACCTAGATTTTATAAAAAGCCAATACAGCTCATACACTGTAAACCCTTCACAGATAATCCAGTATGTAGTTTGCAATTTTCCGATTTTTCTCCTTTTTAATTTATTCATTAATTATTATAGCAGCAATATTGTCTCAAAATAAGCATGTCTACCCTGCTTCTGATGGATTTTCATTCTCATTCGTATTTGAATGAAATTATGGGTTTGATAGGCGGCTACTGGGAACAGGACAGACAAACTTTGAAAATATGTTGTTATGAACCATGTAAAAATGTAGCTTCTTCTAGCACAGAATGTGAAATGTGTCCTATTTCACAGGCAGCTGCTGCTGATATAATTCATTCGAAGAACTTTGATGTTTTGGGTAAGGACTAAGGATTATAGTTTTTTGCCACTCAAAAAGAATTCATCAAAAAAATCTCTTGTAAATAAATGTTCATCTTATTTTAGGTTGGTTTCATTCCCACCCTAATTTTGCACCACAGCCATCCCAACAAGACCTAGAAACACAGCATGTTTTACAAGAATGGATCGGTAGTGGAAGGCCTTGTATTGGCATGATAATGACTCCTTTTAATAGGGATGGTGCCTTAATATCCTCTCCTTTTACGTGTTGGATGGTTGAAAAAAATTCAGAGAATAAACTTCAACCTTATAGGTAAAGTTAATTTTCAGTAAAGTAAACTTACATAAAGATAATACTTTTTAGGTTCACTGTAGAAGTAGTCACAAATGATTTAAATTTACCGAATTTGGTGAACTCCATAAAGACCATTATATGCACCGAGGACAAAACTTCAAAACATAAAAAAATAATACAATCTCAGCCTTATTTTATGGATACTAGTATTAGTCATCTGGATAAAGTAAGTTTGTATTACTGTTTTTGATGAAAATTTTATGAAATCTCTTTTAGTTTCTTTCCAGTGTGAAGATGAGGTTGGCGAAGACAGGTGCCTTGCCCAGATCAGAATGTGATCAAATTGTTCAGAGTATAAGGAAACTGTTGCAAGAACCATCAGTGCCATTCTAAGATCAATCAATGCCTGCCTTACTAACAGCTAATTATTGGGCTTAAAGCCAAATATAATTTTTAATCTGTGTGTGTTTATAGTAAAACGTTATTATTACATACCAAGGTGGGAAGTCTTTCATTCCTGTCAGGAGATTAGGTAATTAACTGAGACGCGGATTGTCAGAGGTAACTATAATCTAGTGACTGGAATGAAACTTCCCACCGATGTTTGTATACTATGTTATTTACAATGATCATAATTTCAAATAAAAATATTTGTGTTTTTATTTTTTCCTGATTTTCTGAAGAAACATCATTCAACTCGAAACTCGAAAAACTTTGTTAATTGAACAACCAAGCGTGTTTCCAGAACCTTAAGATAGCAAAATTTGAAGAGACAGCGGTCAGTGATTTCATGGTAAAAATGAATCTCTTTTGCGGAATTTACTTTCAAGAGAATGAGCTTTATCTGGAAAGATATAAGTAGTTATGGCTGTTCCCGAGAACAAAATCAGTACCCTGTTAAGCCGCGTACAAACCGAAATTCCAACGTAGACCAACGAAAAACGGCACGTGCTGGCGTAGGCGTTGGAACTGGAAAGCATTGGAAAGGATTTTTGAGTATTTTCTTATTACAAATTAGCCATATTTTCTTCCAAATTTAAAACTTATTATTTTGTAATAAGTAGGTATATTAATTATTTTCCATTTACCAAGTTAGCTAAGCATTTTTAAAGTAATTTGTTTTGGTTGGGAGATTTCCACTATTTCCCAGAATTTGGTATTAGCTGTAGATCTTCTTGAATGCTGGTTGTCAGTGTTAGCCCCTGGAGTTTTTTTATCTTTTTTAATTCCACTGTTTCCAGAAAATATCCATCCGAATTCGGTGTTCTTCCAGTATGCTATCACTCGTTTTCCTGACGCCTTCAAGTAAAATCTGAGCGTATTCTTTGGCGCCCGAAATAATATCAATCGGATCAGGCACTGAGATATATATATTGACATCTAATGGCTTTCCAGGTAATGTCTGTGTGAGTTTAGGCAGCACAAAGAACACGATGTCCAACGAGAAGTTGCTTGGAAATCTTGGGTGGATTGTTGTTTCTATCTGCCATTTTGCTGTCTGGGGTTCTCTTGCCATAAGACCTGATATGTCGACTCTGATCTTTTTTTCTGGGTATAGTGCAAGGAGACATAGGTATGTAGCTTCCTCTGTGATAAAAGATGACTGGGAACCGGAATCTACTCTAGGACTCGTAAGTTCTCGTTCATCCAGTAATTTTCTATAGTACTCTAGAAGTTCGTCCATATAATTTGACATAATCTGGTATGTGCTCAAAATATGTATTTCCAGCTTGCTTTCATCTACTCTCTGGAAGCAACCTTGCATCCCGTTAATGATCTTGATGCCTTCATTGAGTTTCTGTTGAAACCTTTCAAAGTTTAATTATTGTTTATTCTAGTCTCCGTTTCGTTGAATGTTGTTAGAGCATGCAACATAAACTTAGTTTGGTGATTTGAGGCCGATTAGCTTTCTTTGGTTTTTCTCAAGCTGGTCTATATACTCATATATAGACTTCGTCGTTGACTTCAAATATTGAAGTGAGAAACTTGCCCAAAAGTCCTTGCTTCTCTCGCTTGGTGACCACAGCTTCCATTCCTTTTTCCATCCAGAGAAGTTGCTTTTCCTTTTCCCGTAAATGATGAATTAGCGATGTACATTGGCTTGATGTTGCTAATTCTTTCGCATCTCGACAAAGGTCAGCCATCTGTTTAATTGCTAGGGCTAGGTACGTTGGAAGTGTCGTTGGATATTTTTGACTTTTCAAATTTGCGTGTCCAATGTGTTCGATGAATATGCCGGGTTCTGGATAATGAAATGTGTAATTTAGCGCAATCTCTGTGTAAAGTGTTCATAAATAAAATGGGTATTATGGCAATTTTCCACAGGTGAATGCTTCGTGGTTTGTTTAGTTGTTTCTTGGATTTGGAGTTTCCATATATGTTGTTCAGTCTCTTAATTGACTTGGCTGTATTATGGAAATTGGAATTAATTTATGTATAGATCTTTTCATAGTATGTCCATCTGCTTTCTTCACAGTGACTACTCGAACGGGCTTATCGCTCGTAGGAAACGCTTCGGTGATTTTAGCAAAAGGCCATCTACTAAGATTGATATCTTCCTTGATAAGAACTAATTCTCCATTTTAAGTGCTTCTTGCGACTGTTTCCACTAGGTCTCATGTGCTCAATGGAAACTCTGATATTATTATAGAGTCCCCGGAAAATACCGACATTGACCCGATGACCCCACCTAGAGTGCGTATGTCGCGAGACTCTGATGCAGCAAATGGACGTTATCTGTTGGCTAGATTGAGAGACCCTTCCATCTTGAAAGCTCTCCGGCTTTACCTTGCTCACCTCCACGACCAACCTCCCAATGTGTGTTTCGAAGGTTACACCAACACGTACCAGCATTAAATTGGCGCTAGCATCAGAGGGCCTTCCAAGTGACGTGGATTCCTTACGTTAGCTATATTATCGTTTCCACAACGCCTATGGCATCGGCTTGACGGAAGTTGAAGCGGATCTCTCTGCATTTAAATCATTTTTTTCTTCGGAGAAAATCCAACAGCTTCAAAAAGTGAGGGAGAGTCATTCCAAGTATTTTTCTGGTGGTTCTCCAAATAAAAATAAATTTTTTTAGATAAGTTGATGCGAACAGAGGAACTAAGCACCCTTTGAAAAAATGAATGATAGTGTAATGATCCAGAAATTTGACCCGATAATTACAAAGTCTTTACTGTAAAAATTAAATTTTATCAAACAATCAAAAACTGAATTTCCGACATCTCAAATCCGTATCGATAAATTAAAAAAGGAACAAATTAACGTTTAATATTATATTAGGTGTTTCGTCATCAAGCCCAGTGTCATCACCCGATCAATGAACTTTTTTTAGCGAGGCCAAGCAAGTAATTATAAAGGCTCAGTAGACCCACCCCCAGTTGATAATTTTTATCCAAAACGCTAGCCCTCGTTCTCCAGAGCTAGCGCAACTTTTTCGAAAGCTAGCGCAGCTACAGGTCAAAAGATATGTGGCTTTATATTCGGGGGGGCTAGGGTGACGCTACACCTAGCGCAAGTTGTGTCATAGCTAGCGCAGCTATCGTAGATGTCATACAGGGTGGACAAAAAAAATAATGAGCCCCTACAAGTGATTTTTAATTTTTCAAAAATATATATGAAGCTTCCTTAAAGCTAGCGCAGGTGAAATTCGAGCAACCGCATTACCCCTTTAAAACATATACCTACAGGTATTTATTCGGGGGGGGGCTAGATCAACGCTAGCCCCCCCAGTTGTTAAATCCTATTCAAAAGGCTAGCGCAAGTTCGTGACACCTAGCGCAAGTTGTGTCATAGCTAGCGCAGCTATCGTAGCTGTCATACAGGGTGGACAAAAAAAATCATGAGCCCCTACAAGTGATTTTTAATTTTTCAAAAATATATATGAAGCTTCCTTAAAGCTAGCGCAGGTAAAATTCGAGCAACCGCATTACCCCTTTAAAACATACACACATACAGGAATTTATTCGGGAGGCGGCTAGAGTGCCGCTAGCCACCCCCCAGTTGTTAAATCCTTTCCAAAATGCTAGCGGAAGTTCTTGACACTTAGCGTAAGTTTGTGTCGTAGCTAGCGCAGCTATAGTAAGTAAATGTTATACAGGGTGAACTATGAAATCTTACCAAATGTCGCCAGCTCCAAGACAAGATTTAACGTTTACTAGCGCTATCTATTCGCGAAGTAGGTAACTAAAACTTAACCTCACAAAGAAATGAAAAAATTGAGGTAGGTGTATAGATTTTATGTTAGAAGGAAGCACAATTATTATTTTTAGTATGCTTTTATTATTATAAAGAATGTTAAACTGATTGTTATATTCGTTAACATGACGACATACAATTGTCTTGTTGACTAACAACCAAAAACAACTAACTAAAGCAACTAGCGACTAGACTAAACTATTACAAAAAGGAAGAAGGCGGGAACCAGAACATTCTGTCGTCTGTCAATTACAATCTAGAAATACTAATGTTGAATCTAAATATATTACAGTATAAGGTATCTTTTTCAACCTTGATGCGCGCGCAACTAGTGGGTTGTACAGTGACTGTATTACCACAGTGGCGACAATAATTGCAATCTTATTTATGATTGGTTTTTTAAAATCCTATAATATGTTCATATTAATGAACTGTGTTCACTTTGTGGCGTAACTCTTGCTAATTTTAAATATGAATATATACGATTTATGGACATCGATCATAACAAATTGAGAACAACGTACCTATTTGATATACCTAATAATGGTCATCAAATACATTGTTTTCAATTTTGTATGATAAATGTCCATTTAAATCCTATATATTCGTATTTAAAATTAGCAAGAGGAAAGCCACAAAGTGGCGGCGGGACCTCTATTGTCGCCACTGTGTTAGGTTTATTGTCACTGTATAGTGAGTTTAGGGATGGCAACGACATATCGATATTTAGTTCGTCGATATATCGATACTGAATATTGGCGACATTTTTAGTGGTGGTGGCGGTGGGGTTTGTCAGGTTTGTGAAGCAAGAGCTAGTACTTTTTTTTATCACCAATTAAGAATTACGTTGGTTGAATGCATTTAGTGATCCCAGGCGGTGGCATGTATGCGTTTCTCAAATTAGGTTTGAATTTCACTGTTTTCTGTTTTCTGATTTGTTCTGATTCCGGCCCGACTATAAACGAAAAAGTATAACTTCGCTAATAGATAGCGCTTGTAAACGTTAAATCTTGTCTTGGAGCTGGCGACATTGTGTAAGATTTCATAGTTCACCCTGTATAACATTTACTTACTATAGCTGCACTAGCTACGACACAACTTATGCTAAGTGTCAAGAACTTCCGCTAGCATTTTGGAAAGGATTTAACAACTGGGGGGGGGGCTAGCGGCACTCTAGCCGCCTCCCGAATAAATACCTGTATGTGTGTATGTTTTAAAGGGGTAATGCGGTTGCTTGAATTTTACCTGCGCTAGCTTTAAGGAAGCTTCATACATTATATTTTTGAAAAATCACTTGTAACGGCTCATGATTTTTTTTGTCCACCCTGTATGACAGCTACGATAGCTGCGCTAGCTATGACACAACTTGCACTAGGCTGCGCTAGGTGTCACGAACTTGCACTAGCCTTTTGAAAAGGATTTAACAACTGGGGGGGCTAGCGTTGATCTAGCCCCCCCTCCCCCCCGAATAAATACCTGTATATGTTTTAAAGGGGTAATGCGGTTGCTCGAATTTTACCTGCGCTAGCCTGCGCTAG